ATGGAAAATCCTAGGGCCAGGCCTCTGTTTCAGAGGCCAGTTTTCGTAGCCTCAGACGTAGAAGGCCGAGACTGGAAAAGGCGAAGACATGCCGACTGTGCGAGCGCACCTCCGGTGCCAGCACTGTGTCGGGCCTAAAGAATCAGCAATCTGTTGGATCTGCGAAGGAGTAGTACTGGCCTCTGTCATAGCCCATCTTGGCGAGGTTGGCACACATGATCTTCTCAAAGATCGGTGGGCCGCACATGACACAGACATGGTCCTCGGAGCCGGGAAACCAGAGGCGTTGCCTGATGATGTCTCCATCAACAAAGCCAATCCCCTGTACCCAACCCCTGGGGGGTTTGTTGAGGACGAGATAGTAGGAGATCAGCTGCGGGAATCGCTCTTTGAGCTGATCCAGGGCTGTGATGAAGGCCAGGTCACCGTGTGTGTCTGCGGCATAAACAATCTTAACACCACCCTCGCCCGGCGTCGGCATCTGTTCTGGGAACTTGCTAATCATGTTCACGTAGGCACGGACCACCTGAACAGCCGGCGCCAGTCCTGTGCCTCCGCAGAGGAGGCTGAGCTTCTTGATGGGACGGCCTTGATAGGTAAAGCCTCCAGTAGTTGTGTCTTGCTTTAGCTTGACACCCCCCATGCCAGCCATCATGCAGCTCGAGCCCGGCTGCATGGAGTTCAACAAGCTCACGATGGGCCCTCCTTTCTCGTCCGTTCGACACAAGATGTCAATCACCCCATTGTCCTCAGGCCGACTGATGGGACTGTAGAAGCCCGTCACCGTGTCCCCGTCAATCTCCCCCTTGATGCCGATGTATCTGCCCACCTCTAAGCCCGTCGTCTGCATGGAGCCATGGAGCTCAAACCGGTACACGGCCGTGTTGTGCCCGTACTTCTCGTCTGTGTCGCGAATCTCCCTCAGCCTCACCGGGAGCCACGTGCCACTGGAGAGCAGCCCCTGCTCTTTCTGGTTGATGGCCGCCGCCTTCTCTCCGGCTATGCGACCGAAGACCACGCACTCCAAGAGAGAGTTCCCGCCCAAGCGGTTTCCACCGTGCACTCCACCAGTGCACTCCCCCGCCGCGAACAATCCTTACAGCGACGGCCAAGACGGCCACGCTTCGCACACATGGAGGTCGAGACAACAGAACATGCTGTTGGTACGGTACCGCGCTCTGTGAAAGGCGTAAGGCTCAGTCCCGGAGTCCGTTTACAGCCAAGAAGCGGTGGATCTTCGTGCGCTTTCCCATGGCTCCATCCTTCCTGGTCAAGACCTCGCCACTTGGGGAGATCTCTAAGCCTTAGATTGCCCAGTGAATGTAGACAGAATCAAGACCAAGTCCGACTAAGTCCCCTTTATGACAGACTCTCCAGCACTGAAAAACCTTTTGCCTTTCTGTCTCCATGCGACCGCCCATGCAGTAGTGGATGCACGGCGTGATCCTGGCCACCACGAAACTTTGGTCTTTCTCGGTGACTTTGGAAGGGAAGACCGTTTTGCCGGTCTTCTGGCAGATCTTCTGATCGCAGGCATCAGCATAGTCTTTCAAAGTGTCGAGGATGGTCTGCTCCTCGCAGCCTAGCAGCGCTGCGAGGCCCGCTGTGCCGGTCACCTCCTCGAACAAGCCTTGGCTCTTGTAGAAGCCGAGCATCGGCAAGCCAAACTTCTGCTGGCACTCTTGGTTCAAGACGCACCAAGACCAGGGCCTGCCCTTTTCAGCGGAGCCATCTATATGGTACTCCTCGCAATGCTCCAAGATCTTGGCGGAGACGGTGCTGCGCAAGTCGAGCTCGTTCACGAAGCGCCGTCCCTGCTGGTCCAAGAGAATTCCACCCGAACCTCGCAAGGCCTCTGGGCCCAGGTACTTCGTGTGGCAGAGTGGGTCCTTCGGGTCGATCAAGGCTGTGGGATGCAGCTGGACCTTGTCCATGTCCACCAAGGATGCCCCAACTTCCGCCCCAAACCTCATGCCATCGCCGTTCGCAAAGGACCCGTTGGTTGTCGGAACCCCTACGAGGTCGGGCCTGTACTGCTTCATCAGGCTCCCGTCGCTGTGGTCAAAACCAAAGCCGCCGGTCGTCAGGATCACGGCATCGCAAGACAAAGTCTGCAGCTCCCCGTCGGCATCTGTGTACTCTACGCCGCAGACCTCCAAGGCTCCGTCCTCGCGGGTTTTTTGCAGCAGCCTCCTGAGATCCAGTTGCGCAGCACCAAATATCTACAGTAACAAAAGCATGCCCACCCTGCACAGTCGTTGCGCCCTTGGCTACCTTTGCGGTCGCTCAAAAATTTCTGCTTTTCCCTGGCACCGACAGACCAGAGATGTCCACAGTGGCCACGAGTTTCCGAAACAAAAAGGAGGTGGGACGGTAGGCCACTTCGGCGAACGGCGAGGGAAGCGAGAACGAAACAACAAAACACGCCTGCTCGGAGACAAATGATCGTGCATTTCAGAACGCTGTGGAGCCTTTCCCCAGAGCCTAAATGCTTGATGGCCTAGCTCCAAGAGGAGCAAGATGGAGCAATCTACACATGCAGGGACATGCCGGGCTCCCGACTTCATGGTGGAGTTAGTCTTCACGGAGACACCGGGAATGGCCATGGCCGCTGCCCGAGCGTGTTGCATGATGGTGTAGCCAACAGGCACCGGTGTACCATCAGCTTTGGGCGGGCAGCCTAAGGACTCTTGCCGACAGCAACCTGACTAGAAGGCAAAGTAGAAGCTTTCACACGTCGGGACGGGCAGCGGTGAGTCCGCTTCTTGGCGTGGCCACCCAGTTGCGACAGCTCACCTTGGAGCAGTCGCCCCTCGGCGAGACCGAAAATTTCCCGACACGACATGAGCCCACATGAGGAGAACATGTCAAGAAGGCAGCCAACGGGCTAAGAGGAATGCCAAGCTCGTCGATGAGCCAATGGATTGCCTCGGCGCTTTTGGATGCAAGCATCGAGACGCAGCCTTGGTCGGAGCTGCCCCCTTTGGCACTCACGAAGGTGTCGCGCTCCAACCATCGCACATCGTCGTCCACGCCATGTGCTTTCTGCACCCGTGTGCCACATGCATTGATACCCGACGTGGCCTTTGCAGAGTTGCCGCCCAGCTGAGCCTCCTTTCATGGCATGCCAGAGAGCACGCGTGAAGATCAAAGAAAAGAATCTCAACCCCAACTGGAAGTCCATCTGCGCGGCCAATGCTTCCAATTAGACCACTTTGCCCCAACATGGACGCACTAGGGTTGGTGCCATGCACCCTGGCATTAATGTACTGCTCCTTGTGTCATACGATGTGTGCTGTGTGTGACAGGTGGCATGTGAACCGAGACAGAGGGTCTTAGTCGAGTGCAAGCTAGGTCGCCGGAAATAGAGGAGACCGTCTTTAAAGGAAGAAAGAGGGAGCTCACCGAACTCATGGCACACTTCCGTTATCGCCTTCTCTTTGCTTTGAGAACCTCTACAGTAGACCCATGGCGAGTGTGTTCGCGGAAGCTGCGCCTTCTCAAGGAGGGTCACCGTGGCCTTGGCCTTGACGGCCTCGACTGCGGCGCTGACTCCCGCTAGACCGCCTCCGACGATGACCACATGGGCGCCTGCGGGGGCGAATGGCGAATGCGCACGAGCTATGCAGCTATGGCAGCTACGACTGTGCATGCGCAAAGGAGCGCAAGCGCGCCTTCCTCGTGCGAGGCGTGGCGGAGCTCGCGGTGCTCTTGAGCCTCGCTACCCGGGGGGCGCCAGCGCACCACCCGAGGGCCCAGCCGCGAGAAAAGCAGGAAGTCTGTGACCGGGTCCTGCATGTCGCAAAGGGAAGGAACTGGGCATGCTCCATGCTGCATGGCTGCATGGCTGCATGTCCTTGAGGGCATGGCCTGTGAAGATCTCCAGGAGCTTCCGTGACTCCCTCACGGACGTCTCCCCCACAGCCAGGGCGGACGTGGCCAAGGCATCTGCGAGCATGCAGGAGCTGCAAACCACCGAAGCCGAGGCAACGGAATGATGAGAGATCTGCACGAGCTTCTTGTCACTTCCACCATCCAAGACGTGGCACCGAGTCTTCTGGTTCTTTTCGTCTTTGAGCTGTTGCAAGTAGTCGCCTGAGGTGGCGATGGCCTGGCCATCTCTGAGCTCGATGTGCGCAATGTGCGAGTCCGCCTCTGCCTTTGTTTCCTCTTTCTCAGGCTCACTGGAGCCGTTCAGAGGATAGGGCTCAAGAACTGCGGCTGTCCAGTTGCGGCCTGTCGGATGCTGGCCACTCACTTTGATGTCACCACCCCAATCTACATAGCTCGCAGTGAAGCCAAAGTCCTTCAACCTCCGGCTCATCTCGTCAATAGCCCAGCCCTTGGCCAAGCCGCAAAGATCCATCATGGCGCTGTCGTGCTGCTTGGTAACACCCTCCTCCGTGATCTCAAAGGCAGACCACTTACTGTAACTTATCAGGTCGCTGGACGGTTCCACTTCTGGGGTCTTCTTGTAATGCGCTGCCAAGGGCAGAATCGCAGGGTCGAAGGCTCCACGAGTCATGCGATTGATCGTGCCCGCGGCGGAGAGGACCTGCTTCATGGCCGGCGAAGGCTTGAAGAGCGTCTTCTTTGCAAGCCTGTTGAGCTGCGAGACCTCGGAGTCTTCGACGAAGTGGCTGAAGGTCTTCTCTGTTTCGCCAAAGACCTCGTCGACAATCCTCTGCGCCTCGCTTGCTTCTGCCGTGCCTTCGGCGGCAATCACAGTTATCTTGTAGGGCACGGCGCACCAAACGCCTTCCATCTCTACTAACCTTCCTGCCGCCTTCCACTCCGCCACCACTTTGGCGTCCTCGGGCGATGGTCCCGTGTTTGAAGGCTTCGTCCAAGTTCCGCCCACCACCTGGCTGAAGGATTGGGCGTGGGGTTTTGCTCCTGAGGTGTCAGGAAAAAACCTTAATGAAAAGGAGAAGATCCCGACATGCGAAGCCGAGCCAGGGCCCAGAAAGAGTCCCAGAACTGCTTTCTGCCTTCCCCTCTTCTATTGGCGGTAGCTGAGGATTGCCTTGTGAGTGAAAGTACACACTGCGGAAGCCGACTTTCACGGCTCCTACCACTTTACTGTACCGCGAAGGGAGTGGCTGAGTATGTGCGCTCGGTAACGTCGGACTGCACAGCCAGACGTGGACTAGAGGCTAGGCGGCTACGCGGCCCAAACAAACCAGGGCCGGCAGCAACGATTTCTGTTGTGGCCTCAAAGGTTCTCGATTTTGCAATTAAGTTTCCGGAGGCTCCATAAGTCAAGCCTCCAGTTACAGGCGAAGGGCAGCACACGGCTTAGAGCCTAGAGCTTAGTGTATTTCAAGCAGTTTTTGCGATTGAGGCCGTGATCGCGATCTTTGGCAATACCCTCGCAGCCTAGCATTTTTTTCGAGTCGAGTCTGCCCAACAGTGCTCTTGTCAATGGAAGTCAAAGATCATTTAGAAAAGGAACAGTATTTAGGCATCCGGGTTCCGGTTGCGGGCTTGTAATCTTCCTAGCAGGCGGTCTGCAGAACCGGGCCAAATAAAACTTTGAGTTATCCGACCCAATTCAGAACATTATGTGCTGGGAGCTCTAAGAAGTCTCGATAATGCCCTCGTGACCTTGAGAGGATTGGGGATCTCGGCGCCGCAAGACAAATCTGCTTTGGA